TTTTACTGCTTGCCAAGGGATTCGAACTAGGGACCTGGGCTTTGCCCAGCCGGCTCTTCACCACCAAGACAAATAGTGGTGAGTAATATGCATTTGCCCTTCAACAGAAGTTCATAAAAGACAAGAAGGGATATCAGTACTTGCACTGGTCTAAAGCAAGAGATGCAGAGTAGGCATTAGAGTAAGATTTTCTCAAAAATAGGGGAAGTTCATTACTCCGTGTAATAATAAGAACGAAGAATAAATCACAAAACAAAATTTTAAAACACATAATTTTATGTGTAAATTCTTGTCGGGTAAAATATTACAAGCGAAGGAGAATAAGAATTCACTTTGTCAAAGAAAGACAATTATAAGTAGAGAATGACGACTCACATGACATATATTAGATATAAAAAGAAAATTATATCAGCCCAATCCCTCAACTACCACCTCATATATCTCACCATGAATTTTTTGGCCCAAGCCTAACATAATTGAGTCACAAACTCTAACAATCCATATGCTTAATGAGCTACTATTCAAGAGGTCATTTTAAACTATTTTCACCTTGCTAATAAAGTTAAGAATAGAAAGGGAAGGCATGTATGGCCTACCTTCTTTCTTGGTAAGTGTGCTTTGAGTCCAACATTTGAAATGAAGCTTCTTGCCAATGTCTCCATGACAAATAAGTTTAGCATATAGATTTTCAATTTGCTTAAGAAAAGAAAATTTTAGGGATTATAAGATATCTCGCTTAGGAAATGATTATGGATTTCAATTCAAGTTGGCGGGTTGGGTTCAGGTATAACTTAAAATTGATTTAACCCAAATAAGCATGACCCAAACTTGGCATGTTTGTCATGAGTCGAAATATTTGACTCGAACCTGAATGACCCAAATCTAAGCAATTCGATCTGTTTATTATAGAAATCTTATAATTTCTTAGATCAACATAACCCATTTAACCCAAGTACAACTCATTTAACCCAAAAATTATCAGTTTAACACGAATCTAAATTGTTTGACTCAAGCATGTGATAAACTAGCCTTTTGTTTTTGTCAATTTTGGGCTTTAGATCAACCTAAACCCCTGAACCTGATCGACCCAAAATTAATCTGGTCAACTCATGCCTAAATTGAAACAGTCAAATTCTTACATATCGAGATATTGTCCGCTTTGACCTAAGGACCTCACAATTTTGACTTGTTTGTGTAAATTTCTAGGAGGTCACTCATCTCAAGATTTCTCTAGGATGAGCACACTTAACTACAGAGTTTCTTAATGAAATTTCAACCATTACAATAAATGGCATCTTGATATTTAAGAGTTTAGCTTCTTTTTACTTTAGGAGTTTCACAATCTCCCCCACTTAAGTAATTAACATCCTCGTTAGTATATTAATCCCATAATCATCCACCACGCATATAGGATTCTAGAGGTAACCCCTTCAAATTCTAGTGGTGACTCCCACTACATAGTATTTTGTTCCATACATGGTTTAAGAGATGGATCTCATGACATAGTATTTTATCTTGTATGACACTTAGTTGCTATCTTCCGACTGATGTATTGTTCTGATACCATTTGTAACATCTCAAACTCTTCCCTATTGATATATTGTCTGCTTTGGCCTAAAGACCTCGCGATTTTGTCATATTGGTGTAAGTTCACAGGAGATCACTCATCCCAAAATTTCTTCGGGATGAACACACTTAACTGAAAAGATTCATAATAAAATTTCAACCATTATATCAAAAAGCTTCTTGATATTTAAGAGTTTAGTTTCTTTTTACCTAAGGAGTCACATGAATTTTCAAAATCGGGTCATTTATTGATACCCCTAATAACAATAAAAAACTCCGTTTTAGAAAGTAATAAAAAAGCCGTCCCAAACGAAGCCTAAGAGGCACCCAATTTTGAAATTTATCAGTTAAGCAAGAGCATTAAATTAGGAACAAATCAAGCAAATCAATTATTCTTTTCTCCAAGTTAATAGCAACCCCAATGAGAAGATAGAATTAAGAGTGGAAAGTTTGAAGACTTTGGAGATTTCTATGCACCGTTTCGCTAAAGGCAATGAAATCATTAGTATAGACAAGATGAGACAAACTAACAAAATATTAAATTATACTAACTAAAGAGCCTTCATTATTATGAGAGGCTAGACTGAATGAGATTGCATCAATATTAAAAAAGAGATATGAAGACAGAGGATAGTTCTCTTACATAATTTGAAAATGTCAAATTTTCATTAATAGCTCCATTAATTATCTAATGCAAGCTTTAGATTTAGTTTGGGACGACTTTTTTATTGCTTCTTAAAGTAGTTTTTTAGTACAAGATTTTTAATTTTTTATACTAAAAATTTGTTTTAAGAAAGAAAAAAAAACCATCATAAACAAAGCTTTATTTTAAGAAATGAACTTGAGAGGAATCCATTTTGATACAATTCTATGAATAAGAAAAATACATGTTAATATTGTCAAAAAGCTTTTATAATGTCCATTTTATGTCAAAAATACCACCTAAAACTTCTTTGGTGAAATCTCTTAAGCAGCTCTATTACAAGAATGTTACCCCGGCTTTCTTAGTGCTTTCTAAAGCAGCTTCTTAATATAAAAATTTTTAATTCAAAAAAATTTTGTACTAGAAAACCGCTTTAGAAAACAATAATGAAACGGTCCCAAACAAGTCTAAACCACATTCAATAAGTTAGATTTAACTCTTAATAATACCATACTTTTGTGTGCCGTTACTAATTAGCCGACGAGCTTAAGTTAATTTTGAATAGAAAAACAAATAATATTAAGCTATTATTATAGGATTTCTTTCTAGAAATACCCTTTTAAAAATTGGTGTATGCTGCATTGTGTGGTTTACGAACTTTTATTTTGTCCGGTCACCTGACGTAGTTTTACATTCGGACGTCACTAAAATAGTGTCACGTGTTCTCACTATTTACCGCACGGCCCGACAACCCCGACCCAGAACGGAGACAAGATTGCTATATTCACGTGTTGCTAGGTATTGCTCGGTATTTGCTCGGTATTGGTCGATTTTGCTCGGCAATAACGAGAAATACCATTATGTGAAGACCAATACCGAGTAATACCAAGAAATACCGAGCAATACCAACTCGGTAATTCTCGGTATTGCTCGGTATTGGTCTTCACAGAGCGATATTTTTCATTATTGCCAAGCAATACCTAGCAATACGAAAACATAGCAATCCCGGGTCAGGTCGTCGGGCCGCGCGGTATTGAGTAAGATCACGTGGTGACATGTTATTGACGTCCGAACGTAGAGCTACGTCAGGTCACCTGACCTAATAATTGTTGGCCTTGCATATCATGCAGTCATATAGTTTTAAAGTTAGAAGAGAAGAAGTTCATATATGGTGAATCTTTAGCTTGCCATCTGAGACGAATAACAATGTGGGACTAAAACTCGGAGAACGCCACAAAGTGATTTTGGCTTTGATTGGGATAACTTTTGATCATTATTTTTTTGTTGCTTTCAAAAAAAATTATGCTAAAAAATTAGTGTAGAAAATAGTAAAAAATTTATCTCATTGTTGTCGCTTAAGTGCCTAATAATTGAGCACACATTGATCAACTATGATTGAAGTTCATTTATTTGGACTAAGTTATAAAACATTTTAAAAAATGTGACAAAATGATTGTTCATTATTTGACCTGAAACAAAGATAGAAATTAAAACTGCTTATATTTATAAACTCTTAAATTTTTTGTTGAGTATAAGGATTTCAGTTTCATTCAAAATAAAGTAAATTTGAAATTATCATATTTTTAAATATATTTTCGATTTGCAAGCAATTAAACGAGCCTTAAGATTAAAATTCAAAGCATATTGTTTTTGCATGATTATGAATGATTCAATAATAAATAATTTAAGATAAATTTTTTTAATAAAAATAAATAAGAATGACCGAAATGTTTTACAAGAAAATTTTACAAATTGTGTTGATATGAAAATTTTTCATTATTTATAAATAACAATACAATTCAAGAATGTAGTATTAGTCATTAGTAAATGAGAAATTTAGGAGTCATCCTTAGAAGTTAGTGGTATGATTATCCTTTTTAATTTAAGAAAATCAATTGAGTACATAGATACATTAGTTGATGCTTATTGGAGAGGGATTGAGGTAATCAAATCAATAAATTTTATGTAGAGCATGATTAAATATTTAGATTGACACATCTTATTTTAACCAGCCAAAGAATCCAAGATAGGCCGACAACCAAGCAACCATTGGTGATAATGATAGGCATCTACCTTAGTGGCGACGAAAAGCATCAAACTTCGTGGCCATAATGGGTGAAATCATTGTGCGGGCGCCGAACATCGTCCAAAGACCAACCAAAACATCGCTCAGTACCGCAGCTCAGTACTGCTCGATATTGCTGACTTGGCTCATTATGATTAATCTCTGAATGTACAGTTACGTTCAACATCTGCACATAATAATTTCTCCAATAACATGCATCAAGCATGTTGCCAATATATGCCGATAAGCATTGAGTGCTAATAGACCCAACACTTTCCTTCAAAACACTTTTTATGACTTCATACTAACCTCCTCAAATGGATGAAAATAAGATCTATATATAGCTTTTAAAGAGCAAAATTCTAATCATTTCATTTATAATCAAAACTCCTTCAAATAATCCATTTTTATATTAAATGAATAAAAAGTGTTTTGAAGAAAAACTCTTTTAATTAAAAAAATATTAAAAAGCTGTTTGATAAAGCTATCCCTAACAAAGCCTTAATTTGAATCAAATGCTTTAAATTTGGTTCAAATAATTTATATCTGCAAACAAAAAATGAGAAATTAAAAAAAAAATTATAGCTAAATAATTTCATTACATAACTTACCATCCATTGATACTTCCTGTTTTAAATATAAATATCAAAGAAGTTAATTTTCTCTTATTTTTCCATTTTTTATTTTATAAATAATAATAACATATGCCAAATAATCTACTGCTCATTAGCGCTACATATAGATTACTCATTTAATCAATCAAAATTATGGTGAACTTATTACAGAGTAAATCAGCGTCAAATAGGCACATACAGATCCTCTCAAAGAGGGATTAATCAAGTGGGACATGACCGTATCAAAGTCCCATATAAATTGCATCTCATCGCACTAAAAAAAGGGAAAAAAAAAAAAGATCAGCCGTTACAACTTTTATGTAATTTGCTGTAAGAACCCTAGCTGTTTCTGTAATTTGACGCCTCTGAATAAGAATAGCATAAACAATGTATAACTTTGGCTTCGTTTGGGATGGCTTTCTTACTGCTTCTTAAAACAAATTTCTAGTACAAAATTTTATTTTATTTTATCAGAAATCTGCCTTCAAAAGCAGTAAAAAAAGTCATCCCAAACGAAGCATTAATCCGTTGTTCCCTTGCTAGCCTTGTAGGTGTTGGTAAGCTGCGTTTGTACATCTTGGGAAACTGCAGAGTGCTCCAGGTATTCCATGGTGAATTCGCCTTTCCCCTGTCAATATTAAAATAGATCAGAGACTGATCATCTACATCTAATGGCCGCGTTTGAATGCTAGGAATTTGAATGCACGTTAAAAAAGAAAGGATTGAATAAGCTTAAGGGCGCTCTGCTAGAGTTTTTGCCGGGTAGGGTGTCTATTGTCACGGGCGGCGCCCTTTCCCTGTTTTCTCATCTGCCACTCTGTTCTTTGTTTGGACTAAAGGTATATTTTCCCCCTTCCCAGCCTAAGCCCTAAAATGGTATAACTCAAGGTTTTAAAAATTGGACCGGATCGGCCGGGCCGACCGGTTGAACTGGGAATCGGTCTAGTCCTATAAAAAAAGTCGGTTTGTAGTCGATCCAGCTAAAAACCGATAGAATCACCGGTTAAACCAGCTAGCCGTCGGACCGGCCGCATTGGAAAGAACCGCCCGGTTCACAAAGCTCTGCACATCTAACGGCTGAGATCGCGTAATCACTTGCATTATGTTACAGAAAACAATGAAGCTCTTTCTACCTTTCCTCTCCCAGGTCGTGGAGCCCGGCTGCTTCCGTGCTTCATTCGTGAGTTTCGCAGGCCGCTCGCAATTGCATTTTATAGTAATAATCAAATCTTCTAGTGGCAAAGACATATTAATAAAGGTATATTAAGACAATTTGTGAAATATAACAGTGGATGTATATATGATGTGCACCATTATGTTATTATCAATGGGGGCATATATGACTATTTTAACTCCTCAACAGGTATAAGACGAGGGTGTCCTCTCTCCCCACATTTTCACATTTGTCATGGCTACCTTGTCTTCTATCATAGATGATTTTTTCAGAAAAAAGCTTTTCCTTCCAATCAAGAATCATTGCATATTTTGCATCTCGTATATGTGGATGACCTTCACATCTTTAGGAAAACAATGCTGCTTCAATGATTAGACTAAAACGATATCCCACTAATTTTAAAGCCTGTATGGCTTTAAAGTGAACTAAGACAAGAGTGGCATCACATTCATTAGTTTTATCTCTAATGCAACCACCTCCTCCAACATATCTAAATTCAAGATCTCTTCAACACCTTTTAAGTAAGGAATGCCTCTCCCATCGATAGATTTTCATCCTTTTCTAGAAAAATTCAAACCTGGATGGACATTTGAAAAAAAAAAAAAAAAGAACGTTTATCTTTTGGTACATATTTTCACTTTTGAGATTCACTTTTTGGAACTATATAGCTTATTAACTGATATCTCTTCATATGTTGAAAAGCATTAACAATAAAGTGATCAGTCGATGCTCTTCTTTTATTTCAAATGTATTTATTGCATTGCTTTGTATCAAACTATTTTAATTAAAATAATAGGGGTTTTTGGCATAACATTCTTATCCGCTCTAAACACTAGCAGCATAGAAAATCATATGTTTTTTTTTAGCCTTTAGAGCTCTTAGTAGAAAGGGTCTTATGCTTATATCTGAGAGCTCTCTTTTCATGTATAAAACAATTCATGAGGCCAACTCTCTGAGATGTGGCTCAATTTCAAAATTGAAGATGGTACCAAATAAAAGCACTTTAGTGGCTCATTGGTTATTGAAAGTTTGGTCCCATGTGTGACTACCTTCTCAATCTACCTAGAAACTCACCTCTTTCCACCATCTCATTGAATGATCACTAATGACTGCCCCTTCAGAATCTTTCTTTAGTGCCACATATATATAACGTAATTTTGGATGTGCCTACTTTGAGGGGGAAGATAAAATCCTATGGTCTAATAAACTTTTTTACTCATTTTCTTCAGCTAAAAAGGCTTTGCAGACCTACCTCTCTTGCATTAATTGGGCTAAATATGTTCGGTCCAATGGGCACTCTCTCACATTTTCCACAAACACTTGGATGGCCTCCAACATGTAATAATATGATAGCTAGAGCTTCACAGCAAGCACAAATGTGTTTATGTTAAGGGAAATTTTGATATGCATTCTCATGCAGTTTTTGCCTATACTTCAAAGATCTATTGAGGGCCATTTAGCCTAAGGCAATCACTTTATTTTAGAACCAACCATCTTTTTCAGGTTCTTGAGTTCATCAAAGACATTGCCTCTCCTTATAAAAAAAATCTCTAACTGATCATTATTAGTCTTCTGATTTATAATATTTGGGTTAAAATGAACAATAGAATCAATTATTCTATGTGCTCCTTTATTCACAATACAACCCTCTCTCTAAAATTTCAAGCTAAATTGATTATTAAGAAATGTTAAGCCTTGTCATCCAATAATCTGGAGGTGATTAATTGTTGAACTAATTATACCACCAAATTTGGTATGCACTTTCTCGCTTTACTATTGGTTGATCTATGGGCTTTTCTGGTTTTCTCGTTCCTTATATTCAGGATACCCATTATTTGGTTGGCTAAGATTTAATTTTATCATTTCTATTGGGCCTTTATGATGTGATTATGCGGTGGTTTAGTTTCTTTTGTCACTTTAGTTATGAATTCCTGTTAACTTGGCGGAAGTTTCTTTTTTATGGTGGTTTTTGGCATTGATTTTTCATGAATTTGATTTGCATGTCAATAATTAGGATCAAAACATAAACTATTAGATTTGCATGTCAATAATTAACCCATAAATTATTAGATCTTCGATTCATTTGCTTCACTTTCCTTCAATCAAAACATAAATTTTTGCTTCATTTTCCTTCAATCAAAACATAGACTTAAAAGATATATACTTATACTTAAACACAAACACAGGGAGTATAAGTCCCTATAACAAAATACCAAACTTCTAGTCATGTATTTATTACCTGGGTCATCGAACGCAAGGAGGTTGAATAACCAAACATATTATTCAATGGTACCTGAGATAGCAATTACATAAGTCAGCTTATACCGCATTAACAAATCTATGATGTAATTTCTTGACTTTGCAATTAACTAAAAAGTAAGGAAACACTCCACAATCCACACTTAAAATAGGATCACATCACTTACTAGTAATTAAGTCATTAAGAAGAGGAACATGTAATGTTTTATCAAATACAATTTTTTAAATATACATAATGGGTCTAAATCAAATATCAGAAGCTTTATATAAATATTAAGACTATGATCAAGATATAAGAGTTTATAAAATATAAGATTTTTTATGGAGAAATAAAAATTTATTTGATATAAGAACGTTTTCAAATATAAAACATTTTAGACAACTCAAATTAGTAACAGTCATAAGATTTATCAAATATAACGCCTTATGCTCTAATAATTTAATTTACGGGTTTCATTCAAATATAGCATCTTTGATCTGAATACAAAAAATTGTGCATATCATTATGTTAGCACATAATTTTATAGGATATAGGTATAACTACTAAATTTGAATTGAAGCTCATAACTCTTCATATGGGCAACAGATGTTACCTCATTTAAAGCACAGATTTGATTAGGGCTATAAAATTATTATTCTCAACTAAAGCACCTCAAAGACAGAAGATAATATATTTCCTTTTTCTATGTATATTCTGAATACAAGCTAAGTAGCGAAGATGCTAGAATTTTGTTGCATTAAAACTCAAATAAGCAAAATATGCTTGAATGCAGCTGCAATAAAACATGAATAACACAAACAAATTTCACCATGAAGTAGAAAAGGCAATAAAGTTCAAGTTCTAAATGGAATACACAAGGGCAACCATTCAAAAGAGAACACTAAACTTTAGATATGCTGGCTTAGCAAATAATAGGAATTTTTATGACTTCGAGAACCTAAGTAATTGTAAACGTAAACTCAAATAGTATATCAAAATAAACGGCGTACTTCAAACTACAAAAAAGAGGCAACATGTCACTTACATGGGCAACAATTACAGTATCATCACCCTCCTGATCATTTCCAACAATGATTCCTTTTCTCCTGGCATTGGAGGCAGAATTTCACATCACATGTCCTCATTAGAAAATAAAATAATTAAATAAAAAGAAACCAAGCAAAAATATATGATTTAAATTTTAATGAGCTAGCTTAACTACAAGAGTACTAACACATACTTGTTAACATCACCAGTAACGGTGCCCTGGAACTCAGTTGGAAATTTCACTTCCACCTTCATAACAGGTTCCAGTATAACGGGCTTTGCTGCAGCATAACACTGTCAACATGGTCTATTAATTAAACTATCGTAAAGCACCCATATCTATGGGCATTCTTTTTAGGGAAATTTACATACATACCACTTTATAATATCCTATTTACATATATGACACCTAAAACTTTAATATTACATGCATACCACCATATATTATTTTAATATCAAATATATCACTAATATTTCTTTCATACCACTCATGTTTGATTGAAAATGAACTATGGGTGGTATGTATGTAATATTAAAATTTCAAATGTTAAATATTTAAATAGAATAGTATAATGTGGTATGTATGTAAATCACCCTTTTTTATGCACTACAGACGTATATTCATAAAGAAGTATTATTTGGTATATAAGCCAATCTAGAAGATCATAGAATTAGGATAAAGACATGCATACTCTACCTGTCTCAAAGCATAGATAGATGCCAACTTGAAAGCAAGTTCACTAGAATCAACAGCATGTGAAGCACCATCTGTCAAGACTATTCTAATATTCTCAATGGGGTGCCCTATCAATGAACCCCTACAAAAAAGAAAACAAAGTGGAACATATAAACAGACTCCAAAAAAAATAATAACAAAAAATCCACAATTTGTTACTTCCTCTATGACTCACGAGTTGCAGGCTTCCTTGAACCCTTTCTCGATGGCAGGAATAAAGTTTGACGGAATAGCTTGTCCAATGATCATGTTCTCAAATTCAAATTTCATAGTTGCGTCTGATGGGAGAGGTTCGATATATCTTCCATAGAAAATATAAGAAAAGAAAAAAATGTAAGCATAAAGATATAGCTGCTGTTTTAAATGAAATAGGGCTAGAGACATGCACTAATTCAAATTTCATTGTTGCATCTGATGGGAGAGGTTCCATATATCTTCCATAGAAAATATAGGAAATGAAAAAAATGTAAGCATAAAGATATAGCTGCTGTTTTGGCTAGAGACATGCACAAATCTCTCTCCCTCTCTCTCTCCCTTGCTCACACACACATATCCAAGTCTTCGGTCCCGGTATCAAAGAGCAAAAAAATCCTTCATTCACACTGATTCTCCTGTATAATTCTGATATATCCACAATTTTCCACAGCAATTTCTTGAATATTTTTTTGGCTTTCCTACTGTCTAAACCGTTTAAAACATCAGACCCAATCTCGACACCACTGTAGAATTACTCCATAACCCACCATAGACCACCTTAAACCCATATAGTAGCTGAGGATCCTATTTCTCCACCCTCCACTCAAAATTTTGAAATTCATAACCAAATCAACTCCGAAAATTCAAGCACCAAAATTTTAAAATTTAGATTTTGAATTTCAAACTCTCAACCTAATCTTATTTGGGTAAGCCTAAGGTAAGTAAAACTTGAACCAAACCATCCCAAATTGGTTCTAAGCAAACACTCATCCTTGGGTTCAAATTTGAACCAATGAATTTTTATCATCCACAACAGTTAAAAAATTGCGAAGAGTAACTTGAGTAGCATTAGCTTCTTTTCCGGACAGAATAATTGCTGCACTATTTGGCCAAAAGGAGCTTCATCCAAGGACATTTTGTGGGCCAAAGGGGGTTGAATTATCACAAATTAGAGGTAGAATCCTGGACTTAAAGTTTGGATCATAATTTATAATGATTTGCAAATCTAGTCTCAAGCTTAGGCAACTCCATGCCTATGTGAGTTGAATATCCATTGCAACCTTTCTATAATTTAATAATCCCGTTTTAATTATTTCCACTTCATATTAAAAGTGGACGATACACATGATAAAATTGAATCTTGCTTGTTCAAAACAGCCTGATACAAAGTTATAAACTGAACTAAGTTACATTTACTATTGCATTGACACTTGAATGAATTAATAGCAATAAAAGCTGACTCATGTGGTTTAATTTATATTGCTAACTTAATAACTTGTTCATATCATTCCACTTAAGTTGACCTTCATGTTAGTTGCATCTTTACATGCCTGACATATCAATTCATCATCTCATTACATATACATAGGTTCATAGTATCATCATAACTCTAAAACTTCATAAGAGGAAAGAAAAGCTAACCAATATTATAATAGTTACATGTGACATTTACAAAATCATAGGCAGATTTCTAAACTTAGCATCAAATAGATTATCTAAAATGAAACTGACAACATATGGTTCATAAAACTCCTAGGGTATATCTTGTTGTTAGTATCATGCACATCATAAGAAAAGTATAAGTTATTACAATTTCCTTAATTTTTATAAATATAGTGAAGACTTCGTGATAATTGAAAGTTTCATGCTTTCACAATCAACTTTATTTTAATGATGTCATTGAGGATACTATTGATAATCCCACTCAATTCAAACCAACAACTACTACATCATCATCTAAGGTCCTTCGTCCTCCAACATCAATGTTCCAGGCAATGCTACTAATACTAGATCCTTTAAATCCCCTCTCAAATGGATTGATCATATTGAAGATATAATAATAGGAACATCAGAGCTTGGAGGGTTAATCATCGTAGAGGCCGGAGATCTACAACTTTGATCGAGTCTTTATATTTTTAGTTTTCGTGTTATAGAAGATTTATGGGGTGTTATTTATTTTATTACAGTTTTACCCTCACTTGAGGGAGCTTTTGTGTTGTTTGGCCAAAGGCCTTCTTATCTTTTGTTCATTTCATGTTTTTAGTGCCTATATATATGGCCCATTGTTCTCTTGTATAGATGATGAATATTTTGATATAAATTTCTAGTTATATGCTTCCTCTTCTTTTGGTGAGTTGAGTTTGTGTGTGAAGTACTTTAAAGAAAGGCAAAGAAATACCCAACAACATGAGAGCTCTTGGTTGGTATCATCTTCCCTCTCTCTATCTTTCTTCTCCTTCTCTAGCCCCCCAAACAGCCTCCCACTGCTGCAGCAACCTGCTGCCCTCAACCAATAGCCACCTCCCTCCCTTCCTCTCTAACCGCCTCCACCTTCTCCCCAACACCCTTGACCCTTAGGCTTCCCAATTCTGCAAGTAATTCACATTAATTGAGCATTTGTTTCAATTAATTGTGACCTTTAGATATCCACAACCGCTTTAATTTTTCCCCTTCCCAAGAAAGCCACCTTTCTCTTCCCCAAGAAGCCAGCCCCCACCTCTTCGCCTCCCAAGCTAACTTTTCCTTTCCCAAACCAACTAATTCTCTTCCCAAGCAAGCCACATCAGCCCTTTCTCTTCCCCAAGCAGCCAGCCCCCACCTCTTCACTTCCCAAGCTAACTTCTCCCTTTACAAGCCATTAAAATCGGCCAAATCATCTCTCCCCTCCTTCCCATGCATCCAGCCTGGCTTTCCCCTCCAAACAACAAAATCGTGAACTGATCCATTTCCAAACCCTCATCTAGCTGAAACTTTCATTTCCCTCCCCATTATTCTACCTCTCCAAGGAAGCCTAGCTTCTACTAATGCAACAAGGACATTGATTCAATAAAGAGAAGGGTTTCAAGGGAAAGCCAAGGAGGAACTAGTCGTCATTTCACCAAGGACTTCATTCCTCCCATTCATAAGCTAAGCATCTAACCCTTCCATTGTTCTTCATCTGACTAAATATTGGTCTTCTCATTTCATCTACAATAGCATCATCTCATATGTGTTGATTAATCTGCTAAGTTCTACTTAAATTTGAGCAAACAAAAATTATAGTGACTAATCCCTTAATTAAATATTGGACTTGGGCCAACCCATGTTAGCTAGTCTAAACTGATTCACCTTTTGTTATTGTTTAGCCTTTACTAGTTAGTTTCTTGCTATCACATGATCTAATAATTCAAATTTTCTTATTGTTCTTAATGTATTATGAAGTTTATTTTGTTGTCTTTGATGTTATCTTAGCATAAATCTCTTTTTCACCAAGTCATACATCATATAAAATATCATAATCTATGTTTTTCAGATGGTTTAGAAAGAGATTCTCTAGTATAAGATTTTATTGTTGAACGTACACTAGAATCAAACCTTAAATCTAAAATTGAGCCTATAAAATCACCTGTTTGTGCTCCAAATAGACCAACAAGCTGAATCCAACCGGGAGTCATGTTAGCACTACTAATTTATGACAGCCTTCTCATCATCTAATTATCAGAAAATTATATGCAACAATTACTCGTCTAAAAGCAGTTCAACAAGGCACTGATTTTGTATTCGACTTGCCATCAAATATGTAAAATTATTATTTAAAGAAAAAAAAAGTAAGTAAAATGCAGAATTAAAGTTACATATTTCTACAATTTTAAAGTTTGGCTTCATGAAAATCTATGTCAAAAAGTACTTTGGATGCAAGAAATAGATGAATCATATTATCAAATAATTACATACTATGGTCAATTTTATTTTAAGAAAACAGTTCATCCTCCTAAAGTCCCTACTTTTATCAAAAGAGTTTGATATGATAGTCAGAAGGACCTTTGATCTTAGGAGTTAATTCGAAGTTCTCAATCTTTTCTCTTAATAAAGTTATCAATCATACTTCACTTAGAAAGCTTAAAACTTTTACTTCATTACCTTCCATGTATCACATTTTAATTGTGTTGCATTACCTGTTTGTTATTTGTATAAGTTATTAACTCTAAAAATTAAATAATAAGCATGAGGAAATTTTATAATCATAGGATGTCAATTTTAATGTATAGGATAATAGTGAAGAAAATCATAGTTTATTTTGTATTTATTGATGTATTCTATATACTTTTTGCATTCTACCCACACTGAATTACTTCTAGATCATCAAAATCATACTATATTTCTAGAATGCTGATACATATTACGCTTATTCTAGTTTTGTCTTTCAACATGAAGGCCATACCTATTTTCTATGTTCAAGGCTCATTGTTCAGTCCTGCATGAATGCATTGTCACTCCATTTATTGACAAGTGTTCAATGAAAGCAAAGCATATGTGCGACAATTACAGTGAAATCGATCATTATTGATGCATCAAGCATCAGTACAATTATGTAATTTTAGTTCATTTTTACAACCTTATCCATATTTTACAATCAATTGCAAGCACACAAATCATTCATAAAATCCTTTATGTATCCTTAATGTAAACTCATGTCCGATGAAATCCCCCAAAACATGCCAAAGAGTTGTGAACTCCCACAACAGGAAAACAGTACGCATGCATATATTTTGCTGCATTGTGATGCCATCCAAGCCATCTGTTAGACCGGCCCAGAATGGGCCGGTTGGACCGGTCCAACAGAGACCGGTCCACTGCTACGCAAGACGGGCTGGGCGGAAACGGCAGCAAGAGGCGGAGCTTCCTGTGGACCCCACGTGGGATTAATTTTGATTTGGGAGGGAGAAATTTGAATGAGGGGGCTGTTTTAGGAAATCCATTATTGTCCTTTATGATTATTTTTGTTTAATTAGGAGATTGGGGGGAAATTAGGATCATCTTGAATTTGAAGAAGAAGTTTGAGATCTCTTGGTGTTCTTGGGCTCTAGGGTTTGCTAGAGACTTGTGGATAGTTGTTCTTCCTCTCGAATCGAAGAACGTTGTATCTTTCTTTGTTTTGCGTACATTGCTAGTGAAATACAAGTCGTTTCTTGCGTTTTCTCTCAGATTTCCCTGTTTTCCTGCTGTTTTCTCTGCTGTGGACAGCAGTTTGCTGCTGTAAATTTATTGGTTTGGATTAGAATTACTTGTGAACTAAGTAATTCCTATCACCATCCGTTGCATAAAATCTTGAAAGTGATCCGGCAACCCCAATTTGAGTGAGTTCACCTAATCATCTTCTCTTACTCTCCAATCCCACACCTGCAACGCCCTCTATCTTCTCTGTATCTCAAGATAAAGATGCCCAAAATGCCTACTTTCATTATCACCCCAGAACTTTGCTTTCTTCCTTGAAATGCCTCCTACGTTAACACACATAGTTTGAAAGTCTTTAATCATTATTAAAAAATAACTTTTTTGCTTTATCAAAAACTAAGTCTTTGTATTGTCAAAATTACAAGAGTTTTCTTTACTTTTTACATCGCCTTCCTTGTGCTAAGATTATCATCTTAGTTTCTCCTAATTAATAGCATCGATGGGTTTAACATACTAAATATGAATGCTTCTAGTCTTCTAACACTTACAATGAATATAAAAAGCTGCAGAAAAGACAAACTAAACAGAAAATATTGATTCAAGATTATTGAAATAAAATTTATCGTAAGAAGTTGTAAACCAGTAAAAAAAAAATAGTACCGTCACAATGTAAAAAAACTCAAGGCAACGACTACTCATCAAGAAATCATTTAAATGACATTTTAAGCTTACGCTTACCCAGAAACACGTCCATATTGGCCTTGACCCCCAGTCTGTTTCTTATGCAAGTAATCAAATTCTGCCCGCTGTGTTATTGTCTCTCTAAAGTTTACACGAGGTTTTCCAGTTTGTGCATCAACCTTGAAATCAAAGGATGCAGATTTGAGAAAATATAGTTAAAATACAAATCAACAAATGGTTCCATGTAAGATACTAGATTTTTAAGTTGATTAAATGAATGAACTAAGAAGATAACGTATGCTATTATCCCGTTTTGCCAGCAAATATAACCGGGCTATCTAAAATCCAAATTAATCATGCCAGGATCCTGATAGCCTGATTTTTAACAAAGAATTCCGCTGCAATAGGCATGAGTTTTGAAGCTTGGCAATAGCAAGAGAATGTACAGACATTTCTTCACAAAAAATGGAAAAACAATAAGGACAGATACCACACCAATCATAGTTCCAAGTAACCTTAAACAGGATTAGTAACTACTCTAACCAAAGAAGCACAAGAACGCATACATACATATACATATGATATATATCTAATATATAACGCACATTAAGAGAGAAATTTTGGCCATCCTTTCCAATTTTTCTCTACTATTTTATAAGGTCTTCAAGATCAATACCACATAATTGATTATAAACTACAACATGAAAAATACTTGTATTGAATTCAATAAACTTGAATTCATTACGTATGTTAAAAATAAGGATGAATGGATGGTACATTGGAGAACAATTAAAAGTCAATCTAAACCATGTCAACAAATTTAAACTATCAAATACCCTAAAAACATCTTCAAGAATCCATGTATATAATTTCAATCCAATTGAAAAACTCTATGCATTTAAAAATGCAATTACCTTCTAAGCAATCGACATCATCCATTATGAGAATTTTGATGCAAATGATTGAAGATCCTATTGCCTTATATTTTTTGAAATCAAAAAGTCTTTAATTTTAATGATGATAAAGAGAATTGATAGTTTTGATCTCTATTAGAAGGTCACAAAATCAAAATTTAAATTAGTGGAGAATGGCATTCTCCTCCTACTAGGAGCAAAAACATACATATGGTATAGATAAGGAGTGCAACTCCACCCACGCACAAATAAAGAATCCCAGCCACATAAACACAAAAGGTCTGAAATAGAAGAAAATAGAATTATTGATAGATAAATTAAAATTTCTAAACATTGTTAAATGCGTGAATATAGGCCGTGTTTCCTTCTTAAATTGGATTAAAAAAGCTGAAGTTGAGATACTCATGAACCTTATACTCCCTTCGAATGCGCTCAACATAAATATCCAAGTGCAGCTCCCCCATCCCAGAAATGATAGTCTGAAAGCGACATGTCCATAAGTACTCAAGATAAATATAAGGACATGAAATAGACTGAAACAGAACATACCTGCCCACTTTCTGGATCCAAACCAACACGAAAAGTAGGGTCCTCTTTCTGAAATCTATTAAGAGCTTTCGAGAACTGGTATGTATTGGAAGAAAAAGTGCATCAGCAAGACATTTCATTACATGTAGGAAAAACAAATCATTAAAAAGAATGACTTGCCTGTGCTCCAGAATCTTTAGAAATAGGTGAAACAGCCAATGACATAACTGGCTCAGGAACATTCATAGATGTCATAGTATACCTCACAGACCCATCGGTGAATGTGTCCCCTGATAAAAAGTATTTAAAAAGAGATTAGAAACGAACAATTATATAAAGGATAATGTAAAAAATATAGCATTGCATTTTGTACCTGAAGCACAATCAATGCCAAAGACTGCTACAATCTGCCCAGCATGAGCTTCTTGAATGTCCTGTTAGATCCTGAACAATATTAGTAGTTATGCTGAAAATACTTCTCCAAAAAGACTATCGAAAGAATATCTAACCTCCATTTCATTAGCATGCATACGAACTAGACGAGGAACCTGAAAACAAAAAGGGATAAATTGACAAACATATCGATATCTCATGATCATCATTAACACCATCACTAGCCCCATCCAAACTAAATTGGGGCAGCAGAAAAATCAATTCTGAAATTTGAACAAAAAAAAAGATCATGACAGTGAAAAAAAAAGGAAAGTATGTACCTTAGAAATCATAAAGAAACTAAAGCACATAAACATTGAATCAAAATCTGTCTCTCGAATGCATCACTTTAAATCATGAATATAAATTCAAACCAAACTAAAATATGTCACTCAGAATGTGGATCAGCAATCAATCTGGAAAATGCTACCTATTAAGGTGAATGTTTCAAAATGAATGCATTTTAAGAAATGTGGAGCAATTTGAATACATGTATTTTAGAAATGTTTAAGTTGTTTGATTGGGCATAAAATCAAATAAATTGAAATGATTTTTTTTGTGTTTGTTTTACATGTTTAAAATGTTGAAATGATTTTCAAAATGCATGCATCTTAGGGAAATGGATAGTGACAGGAGGGCAACAATGGAGTGGGGTGGCAGCAGCAAATAAGGGCCGGAGGAGAAGTGAGGTTACGAGCTATGAGTTTCCCCTATATTTGAGATTTTTTCAATTTGGGTAAATTTCAACTCGTCAAAAATAAGCATTACAAGATATTCAAATCTCCCACACATTTGCCGTGCATTTGGTTTACATCAAACTAAACAGTAAATAGACAGGGATCTATTGCTATCCAATCCTTGGGTTGATTTATATACATTTGAAAGTTTGGGTTGAGCAATGATATCTCATGGCTTTGCTTTTGACAATGATTTCGTGTGACTTTGTTTTGGCAGCCTATAGGTTTTCTACAATTTTAACATACTTTCATTAATCCCTTCATAAGTGTGCTTTGAATTCCATGGAACTAATAGTAACTTACTGTGACACTGATGGTTTTTTAATGCCAAAATTAAGTTGTATTCCTTATCTAGTAATCATCGATTCTACATATTAGTTTTATGGGTTTAAAGTAATTATGAATACGTGAGCACAAATCCCTCACTTGAATATCGAAGTTGTAGTCAAGGTTTTCAAAAGTAGACTTCTCGTAGCATTCATAGAGCAACCGTCCTTGAAATATGAAACGTTGATAAATTCCAAAAATTAAAGTTTGTAAAGTTTAGCTTTTGATCAATAAAAGTTCAAATACATTTTTTTCAATCACGTGTGCTTTTTTCTTCATTCCTTTGAGAATAATGCAAGTGCAATAAGCAAATTTTAGATGGTATCCACTTGTACTAATGTAAGGCCTGAGTTTTTCTTTCCATACGGTGAATTCTTTCTTTTAATCTTTTACTTCCAAACTACTTTGTTATTTCTGCTACAACAATCGTGACAAACTTGTTGCAGCTGGTTTTCAATTGCAAAAAGAAAATTTAAGTTCATTGATTTTTTGCAGTTCTGATTATTTTGGATCAATTTAGAAGAGCAGGGCAACTAAATTGTACACATTAGATAGTTTGGGACTACAAGAGTCTCACAAATAGTTTATAAACTATTTTAACATTTTCCTCAAACAAAAATTTATAGAAAGAATCCAGAAAAGCAGAATAATAAAGAAAATGCTATAATAGTCTCAGAATATTCTTAATGTTTTACTGGTAATGCAGTATTTTTGTTGTGAAGTTGCAATGTGCATATAGCAATGTTGCTTACGAGACCAGTACAGCAAGAAATTGCTCATTAAAAGCCTGCTGAAACATAAAGCTGAAACATAAAAAATCAATGTCGCTCAATTTCATCAATAAATCAAAATAAGTTCCAGGTGGATTCTTCTAACATGACCGCACAGTTATTCCACATTAGTTATAAGATATATTTTCCATCAATACAGCACAACGATAACTTGCAAATTACTCTCCTAAACATCTATATAAAAATGTTGATTAATTAGATATTACCTTGATCTTTTTCCCTGTATTTATGTTGATGATGAAGTCACCCTTTCTTATAATACCTTCGTATATTCTGGCAAAAATAAATTAATAAATAACAGATCTAAGAATTAGCTTTTCATATTTAATACTGAAAGGAATAAGTTAATAAATATGCAAAGGAAATGTAAAACGGGGAAAAAATGTTAGACATACCTTAAATAAGTCAACTGGCCAAAGCGACCCTCTTCTAATTTGAAAGCCAGAGCAACAAGAGGTCCAGCTGGACTTCCAGATAACAGAACCTTCAACAAAGAATCAAGAATTAACAATACAGATAACTCATAAAATATAAACTTCAAAGAAATATTGGCATGTCAAGCCTTCCGTAGATAGAAAACACCATGCACCTTCTCTTCAGCCTGATCCTGGTCCAGGGCATGATTTTCAACTTCAGTAGGGCAGGGCAAAAAGCTAATTACCCCATCAAGAAGAGGTTGTACACCCTACAGAAATCAAATTGCATCCTATCATGGATTGGACAAATTTGTGACACAATAAAAATGAAATACAAAACTGAAACTGCTCAGAGGAAACATGAAATTTTAAGAAATTTAAGAAGCATAAAGGAAAAAAGATAGTTCTAAGAAAAACAATAGGTCGTTTTAGCACCTTGTTCTTAAAAGCACTTCCCATATAAACGGGCACAAATTTTCGTGATACTGTAGCCCTACGGATAGCCATCTGAAATGATAGGATACAAAAAAATTGGAATGGTAGAATGAATACATGATCATAAAAGAATTTAAAATAGCATTCAGAAATATAGAAATGCGAGCTTCAATTAAATCAGAACACTCAAAAATAAGGTAAAACAGAGAAATATATGAAGCAGGACTTTAATCTTCAGATAAGATGTACAAAGTAAGAAAACGCTATCACAAAATGTCAGACTAACAGAAATACATGGACCTACAATGCCTAAATAAGTATATAAAAACCATTGTCATATGCCAAGGGCATCTGCGCTTATAGTTTTGAAGAGGTGAGTTTGGAACATATTTTCACAATACCTTGAGGTCATCTGATGATATGGGCTCATCATTAAGAAAAGAATCAGCAAGCTGATCATCAACTTCAGAAACAACTTCTATAAGTTCACGTCGCTTTTCCAAGACCAAAGCCTCAAGATTTGAGGGGACATCAGATGCAACAATATCCTCACTGCAAAGACAACAAGAATACTAAAATTGCATATAATCATATTTTCAGATATCAGAATTAAAACAACATAAGCGGGAAAACATCAGTGCTCTGTCTGTCCTCATACTATAACATACCCATTGGATCCATGAAAATAATAAGCTTTCATTTCAACAAGATCCACAAGACCCTGAAACTCCTCTTCCAATCCAATTGGAACTTGAACTGCTGCAGCATGGTGCCGAAGCTTGGATCTTGCCTGAAAAATTTACATCTGCATCAGGACTCCATGTCTCAAGAGTACTCTGAATTACAAATAGAGTGAACTTGAAACCATATTACATGTTAAATTAAGCAAATTCAAACCTTCAAATGATTACAAATTACTTTCCTAATACTACTCAATTGCCATAAACCATTTTCTTTAGTTCTACTCGCATAGTTAGTGATGCATAGGGCAAAGTAATAGACCTTATACCATATCCACAAGTGGTATGTAATAAAATACAGCACTTGATACAAAGATATATAAAGATATAAGACTGAAGGAATGACCAAATACTCAATCCAAAGAAAAAAAATGAAAAACAAAAGACAATTAAGTGCCTCAACAGCAGGTATAGTTGCCATGCCCATGACCTAAGACATTTCAAATTACTATAGACCATTAGAAGCAAACATATGTACCCTTCCAAATTCTTATCTCTAAGGAAAATGCTCTGGTAATAATTCATAGTTTAAATAAAAAAACAAATAAGATAAGAATAGTTAAACATGTTCAATGTTCGCTTTAGAAAGAAGAAATATCAAATAGAATAATTATCGCAAAATTAATCAAATAGAAATATTATAGTTTCAAATTCAATAGTTGAAATTATAGTTTTATGCAAGAATTTTTCTAAGAATTAAAGATTTAATGGAAAGACTAAATGTAATTTAGGCTCATTTTATGCCTCTTTATCAATAAGAATTATTTGAGTTGCAAATAATGCACATCTTTTCATGTTGGGCTCATTTTGTGCCTATTTTCAATTTTGGCGAACATTGCACCCGACTATGGTCTTTCTAACCTCCGTCATTTGCCTACAATGATTCTTCTGACCACCGTCACTTGATTATGGACTTTCAGAGCTCTGTCGCCCTCCGACTGACCACTATCACTTTTCGATCCAGCTAAAGGCCATTTACACAGGATTATTCCTACATACAGAAGCATTATACTTTCTAAACATGTTACTCAGTTTTTCGTTCTTCCAAAATGATTGTTCTCATTTTCTTTGCCAATGATTTTCATTTCTAACCTATAGTCTTCATTTTTTTTTTAATTTAAGCCGGGGAAAAACCTTCAAAAAATTCCATGCACATAAATGAAAATCCTTGTCCACACAACCCGCTAGAACTACCAATCTAGATTATTATCCAAATTCCAGAAGTTCCTAGAAATGATTACATACATCATCAATATCTCTTCTCATTTATCATCTACCAGTCTCATTTATAATCTACCAGTATTACAACTTATCCTTGTATTTCTTTTTACCTTCATTATTTTTTTCTGATAAATTCACCAGATTTAAAAAAAAAAAACTTTATAGACACAGACCTGAACAAATGATGCATGTCATCTTAGGTTTTAGATTTTGCTAATGCAAATCTATAATGAGGTCACTATGTGATCTTTGACATTGATGACCCGTCGATGCTGTGGGATCTCCAACCATGACAACTTGTCCGGGTTCTCAATTAGTTGTTAAGGAACTAATGGAAACATTTAATTCATAAATGATGACTGAAACATTATGTACAAGACTGCTTGACTTACCCTACTTGGGAATGGGCAAAATCCTTGGGTCGAGTAATTTTGCACCTTCCCAATAGGATTGGAAAAAATCCATATCACCATAAGTGATCGATCAAGCCTATCTTAGTGATCTCGATATCCATAAATGAGCATGTTATTAACTTCAGCAAACATTTTCTACTGAGTTATCAAATTCTTTGTGCCGACTTACCTCTAGATTATGTCAAACTTACACAAACGAGTGGGAGGTTGAAGGCTTAGTGGTGTAGTTCATGGGTTCCTTTTCTTTCTTGCTTAGAGTTGTTGGCCGATGGGCCAACTTTATGATAAATTATATTTACTCGAACTCCTGAGAACCTAGTAGACCAGGGGCTTGTTTTGAAATGTGTTGAGCTGTACTGTTATATGAGATGCTTCCTTTGAGTTGCCTTGTTAGTATTGATTGTCTTGGCTCACCCCTCAGTATTCCCTCTTGTCTCTTCTTGTTGGTACTCCAACTCCATTTAGCATGTATTGCAAATGTCTTCTTTGTGATTTGGTTGTGAAGATTGAGTGGATGAGAATATCATTGAGAGGTTTATCTCAATGCTGAGTGAATATTACGTACAGGCCGAACTAAAACTCGGTACCCGACCTCAACCACTTGGCGGCACTCACCTCTTGTTTTTGGGCCCACAACATGGAAAACATATTGAGAACCAAACCAGCCTTGAACATGAATCTTTCACCAAAATCAATCAGATGAGAAACAACTACGCAATTGCTGGCAGTAAAATGTGTGTTGTCTGATTGCAGCAAAAAAAAATTAGCAATTTTAATTCAGGCAAATATATAAGTGCACATCATATTTAGGGGCTGTTTGGATGCCAGATTTGTCCGGCTTTGAGCTAAATCCAGCCAAATAGAAAAACAAGCGAATCTAAATACAGAATCTCCAACTGACATTGATCTTTGAGAACAGCACTGAGCCATGCAACTCATCTAACAGCTAATCAATGACTGATATGGGAAACTTGTCCAGTATAATCTCCTTGTTCAAGGCACGATAATCTACATAAAATCTCCAATTATCATCCTTCTTCTTCACCAATAACACGGGACTAGATAAAGGACTCACACTGAGCTTGATGATATCAGCTTCAAGCATCTCTCGAATCAGCCTCTCAATCTCATCCTTCTGGACCTATGGGTAGCGGTATATTTAGACACTAATGAGAGATACTTCTTCCTTCAGAATAATAGCGTGCTCGTGCTCCCATGGAGGAGATAATCCTTGGGGAGGTTGGGATACCTCATTGAATTGTTGGAGAAGTGGCTACTTCTGGAATGTCCTCTATCTCCCGAGTGTCTCCTCCCTCCAAGCTCTGGAGCTCCACCAAGAACCCCACTCCTTCACCCTATAAGGAAAGCACCATGATTTTCAGGGAAACCATTACTTTAGATAAATTATGGTCTCCCATAATCACCACATTTTTTCCCTCCACCTGGATCTCCATAGCTAAGGCCTTCCAGTCAACCTTGGTCTACCCCAAGGTTTGTAGTCACTTCATACCCAAGATCAAATCCGTACTTCCCAACTCCAGTGGAAGAAAATCCTCCTTGATGTAAATCCCTTGCAACTCCACCACCAATCCCTAACAGATTCCCCTGCTCTTCTCCACCTTCCCTATGCCCATCATCACCCCAAAGCATCCATGTCCACAAGCTTTCAGCCTTAGCTTGTCAACCATCCAATTTGATATGAAATTATGAGTAGCTTTAATATCCACCAAAATCGTCGCTGCTTCCCCACCTATCTATGCCCTCGTCTACATAGTGTGATTCAGGGTGAATCTCACAACATAATTCAACAAAACATGTGCCACCTCCAAGTGTAAGTGCTTCTCTTCCACTACCACTTTTGCTTCTGCCTCTACTCCGCCTGTCTCCTTCTCATCACAAAGAAAAAGGGCTTGCAAGGCGTGATTTTTACACCTATGACCCGGCATAAACTTCTTATCGCACCTTAAAAATAGACCCTTAGGCCATTTGTCCTGCAACTTCGTATAAGTCAGTCGTTTAAAGCTCCCTCCCGGACAAGCTCCCAAACCTTTCTCCTTTGGAGCTTCCCTTTGACCCGATACAATCGGCACTCTAGGTGCAAGGAAGGTGGTCTTCGTGCAGTAAAAACCTCCAAAAATATCCCCTTTGCTACTCTCAAGTGAGTTCTTGTCCTCTATCAATTGGGCTAACTTCATAGCCTCTCCCAAGTCACAGGGTCTTGCCACCCACACAGCAGCTCCCAGCTCTAATTTAAGACCCTTCACGAAACTTCTCTTTAACACCGTCTTTGTTAGTCTCCCTAAACGTCCCGAAAGAAGTTCAAATCTCTCCCAGTACTCCATCACCGTTCCCACCTATGTCAAAGCAAAAAATTTCTCATAATAGTCCCCATCTTGCCTGGTTCGAAAGCGCTCCAATAAACGATCATTGAACTCCTCCCACAAACGAATCGGGTATCTCATCTCCTTCCATTGGAACCATGCTAGTGCCTTCCCCTCGAGACATAAAGTCGTCTCCATAAGCCTCTCCCCTTCCGTCAATCTGTTCACCGCAAAATATTTCTTCATTCTATAGATCCACCCATGTGCATCCTCGCCTTCAAACACTGGCATTTTTAACTTCCCGACCTTCGGATCTCCTCTGCCCCAATTTCCCCTTCCGCCCCCATGCCTCCTATGAAGCTAGCATTGGGGTCCCTCCATGGTTCTCTCTCTTTTCATATCCCCCTCTTCCTTCAAATTCAACTCATTTGTTCTCTTCTTCACATTCCCTCCAACCTCCATATTCCCTATCAATCCAACTTCTCAATAGAAGCTCAAGGTGAGGTATTCCCTCATCCCTTCCTAAAATTTCCACCTCTCCATCTTCCCTCGGCACGTCATTTTCCTGATTTCCCCCTGCTTTTGGCGAAATCACTTTAGTTTGAAACTCCAACATCCACTTCGTCATTTCCTCTAGATTTGCAAACCTTCATTCCATTGCTGAAAAACGCTCATTCAACTATCCCACTTCCGTTCGCAGCTGCCCTACTTCCACCTCCAACTTTTATTCCAACACCTCAACTCTTCTCCCGGCCATTGGCCACAAAAACTTGCTCTGATATCACTTTTATAGGATTTGATGACCAAAACAGCACACAACGATATAAAAAAAAAACTTACTCTAAATAGATCCAAAAATAACACCAATGGACTGTAATTACTAATCTCCAAGCAAAGAAATATAAGATACAAGTTGAATCACCTTTCAAGAGGTGAATCGCACCTCCCACTAAGCACATGCTCAAAGTTACAAATAGTTGTGCGAGTTTTCTCAATACTCCCTCGAAATAGTTAATCAGTACTTTAATGTGGTCCTCTATGCAATTTTTTACTCATTTGATAAATTCATTAAGTTGTCAGACGCATAAGCAGAATGTCATTCCTTTGTACGTTCAAATGCCCAATTCTTTCCATTCTTCGAGAATGCAATAGAAGCCATCGACATAACCCACATTCTTGCACTTGTTACCAGACAGTTGCCAAATCGATATCGCAAAAAAAAGGCTCACTTCTCATAATGTCATGGTTGCAGTAATATTTGATACGCAATTTGTCTATGTTGGATCTAGCTTGGAAGGATCGACAGCTGATATTAGAGTCTTACGGTGGGAAGTGGAGGGTGATTTTATAGTGTGTTAGTTGGTAAATATTATTTGGTTGATTCTAGATATGCAAACATGGATAAACTAATTGCTCCATTTAAATGATACATATATCACTTAAGTGAATACAATGGTGAAGTATCTCGAAGATACTCTGCTACGTAGGAGCTGTGCAACCATCGTAATGCACAACTACATAATGTGATGGAGAGAACGTTTGGTATATGGAAAGAAAGATTTCAAGTGTTGACGCACATTCAACAATTTCCTCTAATGGTTTAGGCTGATATTGTGTTGTATGTGCAGTCTTGCACAATTTCATTGGGCGCTACCACGAGCACTATATGTACTTTAACATGTCATAAATTGAAATGCATCATGACAACGATTTGGGGAAGGCTCAAGTCAATGATGAAGACCTAAATTTGTATATAGGAGTTCAAGAGAGAATACAAAATGTTTCCCTAAGGCATTTAATCATGAAAAATATGTGAAAAGAACATGTAAATCTCTATCTAGTTAAAGTTAATATCATTCATGTCTCAAATTATCCCACTTACAGGTAACAAGTCATCGAAGTTGCTCAACTGGATAGCATGCAATGCTTGGAATATGAAGATGAAAGCAACTTAAATTTATCTTCAATTCTTGTTTATGAAGTTGTTGTACTTTTAACACAGTTTTGATTTATTCGTATGAACTATTGTTATTGTACGTTAATTACCCAAGAAAAATATATCATGTGTTAACCGATTTTAAATCCTAAATTGTATTGCCAAACAATTACATAGGATTTATCAAGATTTAGATTACTTATTGCCAAATAGTATTCAGAATTTAACACCCTCACTATTTAGTAAATCCTGATTTAGAGGATTTACAAAATATTGCTTAAATTAATCCTTGGTGCATCCAAACAGGCCCTTAGGATGATGAGATGATCAGAACCCAAAAGCAAGCATAAAAAGATTTAAAAAATTAAAATTAAATCAGCAGTTTAGTGTTTAGATTAAGCCTTTATATTCTCGTCATGCTCTCACCTGACTTAGAACTTTCCAAGGATCTGCTCCCATACGATCTAACTTATTGATAAAAGCAACCCTTGGAACTTCATATCTTCTCATCTGGCGATCAACGGTTATAGACTGGCTCTGCACACCACCAACGCTGCAAAGGACAAGTATGGCACCATCAAGAACGCGAAGAGCCCTCTCAACCTCAATAGTAAAGTCCACATGGCCCGGGGTGTCAATTATATTAACCTTCAACCATTAAACCATACATAAAGACTAAAGTTCAACATTCGGAATCATAAACTAGAGAAAACTGCCATTTTTACAGACCTGATAATCTTTCCAGGTGCAGTAAGTAGCAGCGGACTGGATGGTGATTCCCTTTTCCCGCTCGAGATCCATGGAGTCCATCTTAGCACCAACACCATCCCGACCTCTCACCTCATGAATCTCGTGGATCCGACCGGTGTAAAAGAGAATCCTTTCAGTAAGCGTCGTCTTACCCGAGTCGATGTGAGCCGATATCCCGATGTTCCTCACCTTATCCAACGTATCCTTCCACCAAGCCTCCTTCTCCTCCTTGGCGCGGGCCAGACCCGCTGTTGAGAATCCCCGCCATCCCCCGCAGGCTTCATCTTCGATCCAGAAAAGGGCGATGGCTGGGAAACGGGCACCGCTTCTCCAATTCGCCCCGCGGCGTAGTGAGGAAAAGATGCGGGCGACGCTGGATCTAGTCATCGTCGACGATGACGAGCTCGAGAGTCGAGCCCAGCACTATCTAAAACCCTAATCCGATAAAACCCTTAACGACCCGGCTCTGCTACCGGAGTTTTGCCATTCGGTTCTAGTTCAACCTACCGACACGATTAGTATGTTTTATTAAACTTCAAGTAGTTGGCAATACAAATGGAAATTGAAAACATAGACAAAAAATAATAAGTTGTATATTATTAAACTTCAAACAATGCCCAATAAGAGAATTTATAATTAACTAACAAAATTACTACTATAGTGTACAAATCAAAGAGAGCTTATCAAGATCCTTCCTAAAATATCAAGCTCAAATGCATACAAAAAATAATAAATTCAAGAGTCTAATATATAAAGATAATCTCAAAATTAAAAAGTTTTAAAAAAAAACCTTCTTGCATGCCCAGGCAAGCCTATCAAATTCTCATAGAATCATGGTTATTGAGAGGAAATGTGAGAAATGTCGAAGCCTTGTGTTTTTAGGATGTTTCTTAACTTAAAAAAATATATACCCAGATCTAAGATGTAGGGTTTTTTCATGCTGCATATATTGATTTGATTGCATTGCAAGATAAAAGAATTGATATACCCCCATATGTTAGATATATGAAGACTTCAAATGTAGCAATTAACTCGCTTTGTAAAAATCAATAGTTCATATAAGATCTCTTCATGAATGTAATTTAACGCTTTTAATTTTTATTTTATTGTTCTACTAAATACTATAACAAGAAAATTGAAGGATTGCTATACCTCCATATTTGGTGGGCTTTGATTACTCAAGTAGTTGGCATACTAGTTGATGATATTATTGTGTTGATTTAAACTATGGTCTATAAATCAGTAAACTTCATACTAATTTTTCTTGTTTTAATTTGAAATTTGCTTATAAAACCTAATAAACCCAATCAGTATGAAGTGAAATGACGTGTATTCGCCCCTCTTTCACATAAACCGCACAAATTTGTTCTACTGAGTGCCTCTGATCACTCAATCTCATGCAATTAGCATGACTTACCATCACTAAGTCCTGATCTAAAAAAGTTCAATAGCTAACGTGCAACACACTACTTGCTTCTACCTTTTCTCACAACCAATAAATTAAGCTCCTCCTCTTATTCTTGCTTAGCTAGGAGCCTTCCTTCTCCTTCAATCAAAAACCTTCATATTAACCCAGCAAAAAAAACCCTCATCATCTTTCTAGTCTTCCCCGCCCTCTTCCATGTTATTATAACCTTATCATTCCATCTTCTAGGACTTAGTTCGTAAGAATAATTTAATTTTCTTAAAGACTAATTATTTTTGTCTTCTATTTTGTGTATATTAGCTTATGTTAGGCTTTATTTAAATCTATAAAATTATATTGTGTTTTGATCATATAGTTATAGAAAAATTTTAGTTTATTATTTTTATTAGGTAAGTGATATTTTATAAAGATAATAATTAACTTAGGTTGATTATGGAGCAAATTATATGGATTAGAATTGAAAAGTGAATATTACTTTCTTTATTTAAGGCTAAAAGTATTTGATTTTTTTTTTTTTTTTTGCTACATTAGATCTAATGTTATCATATATTTTAAATGTTCGTCAATATTAGATAGTAATTCAATGCTCATGTGTAAGACTGTCAAGTTAATTTTTCATCAAATTTGATTCACTGGATATCTCAATACAAACTTAGCATTTAATATCTATTTTGAGGTAAGTTTTATTTATTACAAGATAAATATTCAATTTTTTTTTTCATTATGGGCATTATTCTTGTCATTTGTAATATGTTTTAGATGTTTTATATAATGCTAGTCAAGCCTAAAATATTCAAGTTTTACTATATATATACATTTATAGATCTCTTTTAATGTTCCTATATATAGAAATGATGTAGATAGAATTTCCCTATTTAGTTTGCGGCATAAATTCTTGAATGATTTTTATATGACAGCAATGTTTAATTTCATATAAATTATCTCAATGGAATATTATAAATATTAATCTTGCATATCATATTTTATTATGAACTAGCATTAGTCACATTGATTATAAAATATATATTAATACTTATTATTATTATTATATATAATGATTAAAATGATCTATTGACTTTTTATAAAAGATCAAAATGATCCCGATTATATTAAGTGACTATTTTGATTTATTAACTCCTTGAAGAGATCAAAAACTTGATGAATCAAAATAATAATTTAATATAATCGAGGATTATATTGATCATTCATAAAAAGTCAAGAGACTATTTTTGTAATTTATTTTATATACTATATGGTTCATTGAAATAGATATGTATGTCTATAAAGTTATTCTAAATATTGGCTAGTTAGATCTAAAAGCTCATAAAGTGGCAATCTTTTAAACATTATTGAGAAAAAATTTGGATTTCTATGATTTGGATCCTACCTTATTATTTTTAAGGTGTCATAGTACAATCAACTATAAAAATATAAAAAGAAAAAGAAAAAACATTGATTAATTAGTTGTGGATGTACATGATTATGCCTACTATGATTGCACAGTAATATGTTTGTGTAGAAATATATTATTTATTATGTTGATCATCATAAGATTTATGATACTTTTTTCTTTTACATTATAAAAGATTATGCTAACTTGATGATTTGATGATATTATTATACTAGAATTACATAGCAAATTGTGCCTTTATTAATATTTATGTTACATGCGCTAGTGACTTATCATTTATATTTTAATAAATTCGAGTTACATATTGAGTTTGAAATGCTACTCATTCATTGTATAACTCATATTCTGCCAAGTTCTGCTAGGCTACTTGGTAAGCTGTTATTATATGAGCAAATTTCTCATCAGTAATAATTTTATTCAAATATTACTTGAATTTATGTGGTAGTTGTAGTTGTACTTCTGTTAGTTTTGTGCAATCTTTGTTTCTTATTCATTTTCGGTAGATGTTATTATTTCCTTTCCTATTCTCTTTTTTTTTTTTTAGTATAAAACATGTTTCATTGATCTTGACTACTAAATTTTATCTCAAGTATTGAGGTCAATCACTTCATTGTTGTCAGGTACACCATTATTTAGGGGCTATTTGGTACAGGATTTAGGCCAATTTTGAGGCGGATTTAAGCAAAATCCAACCAAACAGCCTAAAATGCAAAACTAAATCTCACGGCAAATGAAAGCTGCCGTAGACGGAAAATTCAGCCTTTTCATGCTAAATCCCGGATTTTTGAATCTTGTTATTTGCCAGATTTATGAAATCCATTGGCTCGAGAAGAAGAGTCTGCTCCTTAAATCTGTTCTATAGTCAAACAATCACACATGATTTAATATAATTTATTATGAATGTTACAAAATATTTTCATGATTTAGGCCTCTCAGAATTTCTGAAATCCAGATTTAACAGATTTACAAAGTCCTACTTAAATCAAATCCTGAATGCTACCAAATAGCCCCTTAGACTTTGGTTGCGATAGAAACTACTTAAACTAAAAGTTACCGAAGGACTTCATATTGCTATACTATGAGACCAAGCTAATGGACTTTCCAAAGAAATTTGAAGGCACTCACTAAATTAGCTCAATTGACCCCTGCATTTTTTTTCCCTTTCAAATAGTCAAATATTGGCCCTACTTATGACATAGTCCGCGAGCAATTATTCTCAGCCTCAAGAATTCCTCTTAGGCTAGAAGAGCCTTTCTCATTCTCAATATATCCTTCTCAACCTTAGGATTCATATAGGTTTCGAAGGATTCTCAACACAATTATTTATTATGAGAAACAGACAAACTGAGAGGATTAATGACACACTAGCAATAATATTTACTACATAAGCCATTGTAATATCAAGACTCATCTATTAAAAAGTATTCTCTCATATCAAAAGCTGAATTAAATAGGCTAAACCAAATCGATTTCCTCTCCACATCCCATCCTCGTTAGATATTGAATTGAGACATAAGAGCAAAGAATCAAGCAAGACGAGTTGAGTGAGTAACAAGAGGGAAAGGGACTAGATTGTAAGGAGCAAGGCTGTGAGTGTAGGTGAGGTTATTGAGCGGTAGGCAACCACATGTATGAAGACAATGGATTTTGGTCCTTCTGAGCTTTTAAATAGTGAGGATATTATGACTCGGCTATTTGCATAATAAGAAGAAGATAAACATCCTTAGAATTATAAAACACACAAAGGGGCTTCCGCGTTAAGATAATTAAAAAAACATACAAGAACTAAGTGAGTCAATAGCCCTCTAAACATATATCAAATGAAAGAGAACCTACGTGCCTTTGATTCATACAATTACGAAACACAAAAAAAAAAGGTAAACAAGGCGTACAAAAATAGCACGGGACCACCTAAAAGAGATGTTCAAAAGAAACCACTATCAACACGACTAAACCAGTTAACACTGCAAGTACATATTTTGGCATTGGGAAGCAAGCTTATCATTTTGCATATGAATTTTTATAAACTCTAGTGCATAGTAGAAGAATTTTTGCATCAATTAAATTTCACTTTCTTCTTTATGGATCAAGTAGTGGGTGTTGTTAGATTTAGATGAAACTATGATCTTATTGGTGAATAAACGCTACTACAATCATGATTATACTTATTGACATTATTTATTAGGAGAGTTGTTGTAGTTGCTTTTTCTATCTTTATCCCGAACTTCAATGGAACTCCATGTTTATCATATAGAGTAAGCTTACTTATTATTCGGGATTTTTTTTTTTTTTTTTACTTATTATCATTAACACTACAAACAACAAGTAAAACTTATTTACTTTTAGGGTTCATTCTATAAAGAATTCATTCAATTTGAATGATAAAGGAGTTGACCTCAAGTTCACTATACAACTAGTTATTAGGAGTTCGGACATTGCCTTCATATTTTTTTTTTTAATTTTGATCACATAGTATTAACAATTTAGTTAGTAGGTGCTACTGAATTCAGATGCCCAAATGATATTCATTGTTGGGCAAATATTATAAGAATTAGTCTTATAATTAATGTATTTGTTTATTGCGAATTATGACATTACCGACACCTATTAGTAACAACATAAAAAGTGAAGCTTTTGGACTATGGTTGTTCATCAACAGGGGCGGATCCAGCTCCTTCTTTTAGGGTGGGCAAAAAAAAAAAATTTAAGGGATGGACAAAGATGCTTAGGATTGATAAAATTATGACAAAAAAATTGTTTTAGGGGGGGCAAAATGTGCAAAATACCCAAAATATTCTAAAAAATTTCCTCTAAATATTAAAAAAAAAAAATTTTGAGGGTGGGCATTTGCCCACCCTTAGGCCAATGTGGATCCGCCTATGTTCATCAACAACTAAATGTTCTCTTTAGACCCATTTAAACAAAAGAAAAAAGAAGTATCGCGCCACTTTATCTCTAGCCTTATAATTCTTTTGTATTTTTTCTACTCTTTTCTATTATAGAACTAGTCATTATAACATCAAAGTTCTTATCATTGCTTTCTGTAATAGATCATTATGATCAAACCACTCTACACTATGTGCATTATTCTCTCTATCAATCTTTTTCATTTGAGTGCACTTGTGATTTTTGCTTGTCTTCCCTAGAAGACTAGCAAAATTCCAATTTTATCATTCAATTGAGCATTTTTTTCCACCTTTAACACCAACATGATGGACACTTCTCAAGATAACTCAAAATCCTCTAGTTGAGACACCCAATTTTTGTGAAATGGAAGTTAACCTCAAATTCATGTGTGCCTTGATTTTTTCTATCTTTACGGAACACCATTCTTATTGTATTTGGTAAGTATATTTTCGCTGTACGTTTGACGGAACACCATTCTTATTGTATTTGATAAGTATATTTTCGCCATCACCAGATTCTGTGTTTGGAGAGAGTTGATCGTTCATCATGCTAGGCATTCAATTTTTATTATCGAAAAAAGGTGTTAAAAATTTTATCCAAACTTCTCATTCTCATTTGATCCACCACTTCGTTTCAATGGCAAGGGAGTTCAAGCTACTACGTCTAGCCACCTTTATTCTCTTTTGCAATGCTTTAAAATGCCTTGTTGAGTTAGTTAATAAACATGAATTGGAAAAGATGCACTCTTAAATCCTGGTGTTCGCTCTGCATAAATATCTACCTCTAAAATCATGGTCCATACAGTTTCTATTCTAAAAAGCTCTTTTAAACTAAAATTTGCTTCAATTTGCCAACATTTGTAAAATTAGGAAGACAAACTTCGGGCCAATTAGATTGACCACCAACTACAATAGTCAATTCTGAAGTTTTTGATCATGATCCCCCCACTTCAAAAAAGTCAGGCAATTTGTGATTTTCTTTTTTTTTTTGGATTATCTCAGAACTTCGTACCAATTATTTTTTGTTTTATCTACTTGTTCAAATTTGCAGCTCATATTGATATGTTTAGTTGGAGTTTTGGTTACCAAGATGATCTTAGATTCTAAGCTTAGGTGTGTATTATACATGTGAATTTGACTTAATTAACTCAAAAGTTCTCTTATCATTTTTTTAGTCTAGAGTTATTTATTATCAAATTTTAAAAAATAAAATAAAATTGAGTGCACTCTCCAAACAATTTTCCTCTCGTTATCGCAATGAAGAAAAAAACTGAAACAAAATAAGCAAGGAACATAACAAAGAAAAACTGGGGGAAGGGAAAACTCAAATGGTCTTTTATTAGATATTAAAGCAACATCAAATTGTTCAATTGTAACCATTCATAGTTTTAATACTAGAAACAGATGACAATAGTACTAATAAAATAGAACAAAAAAAAATGTTTGTTTTACTTGGATGAAAAGTTTTCATTCTTCATCATCCTCGTGGAATCGCAGGTGCTTTCCTTCAGGTAACGGCAAACCTTTGAGCAGCATCACACTCGGAGACAGAGCTTTTCCAGCACTGCAAACTCTGCCAATCTCCTCTTCTGCTTCGATCTCGCCATCACTGCTGTATATAAACCGCGTGTGCTTCCCTTTGAATTCCGGCATCTTTTTCATCTCCCTGTCTTCAACTGTAATCTTCCCAAGTCGCTCACATAACTCATCCAAGCACCCTTCCTCTTCCACGTTTTCCTTATAGTAATCTAGATCTTCTTCATCAAAGTCTTCAAAGTATTCTACTTCATCATCTTCACAGGCGCTAGCATTGGCTTGGATAGACCATTTGGAGGAGTTATCGTCATAAGAGGAACTGACAACGCTTCCTTGGTATGTTACTGAAGAAGATATATTGGAGGAGGCATCTGAAGCTTCAGATTTGCTTGGTGAGTCAAACAACAGTGCTTTGTTGACCACACACTTATGTAGCTCCAGAGGTTCCTCATGCTTTACTGATTCAGCAACCTAGTCCATTTAACCCGTTTAATATGAGAAAAATATATTAAACCATGTTGTGCAACGTAATTCTCAATGTTTTCGTTAAAAATTAGGTCGAATAAGGTAAAGTAAAGAATTTAATAAAAAAACTCGGCAAAAATATCATCATTAATTAGATATAGTTTGGTTTCAGATATGTGATCAACTCATTTATGATTATAGCACCCAAAAAAAAAGTATAGAATCAACAAACATGTATTTGTAAAGAGAAAGTTATACCTTCGGAATCACCATTATAACGTCTCCCATAACGACACCATTAACTGCATCCTTCCCTGCTTCTTCTTTCGCTTTGGAATTGCCGAAATTTTGGGGGGTGTTTGCAGGCGTTGGAGCCGCCAGCAACGCCGGAGAAATGGGAAGAACCCCTAAAAACGGCAAGAAAGGTGCACGACGGTGCCTGTTTGAAAGCTTATTAACGAGCTCTGCCTCCTCCTCAACCTTCTCCAAAAGGATTTTCACTTGCCCTCGAAGCAGCGCTTCTCCAGAACCTGGTGTTTTCTTCGGCAGAGATCCATGCTTCATTACAGAAGAAATGGGAGTCTTCTCTGTTGCAACGCCATTGATTGGGGAGTCGTTTGAGATATCTTGAAGCGCAGCTCTCTCGTGGTTCCCATTGTTTATTGATCTTGCCTCTTCTTGCTTAGACTTCGTTTCTGAATAGGAAGAGATAACTGAGGAATAAAGAAAGGAAATTTACGCGAAGAACAATGCAACGAAAGAAGAAGATCAAAAGAACTGCTTACGAGAGAAAGAACTGGTCTGAGATCTTGTAACCCTTCTCATAGAAGACGGAGTTTCCATCGCTGAAATGAAGAAGAAAGGAGCTGGAGGATTTCAGTTGAAAACCTCTGAAAGAGGCAAGGTGATTAGAGAGAAACGGAGGAAACAATTGTTTGCAGCAAGACGCCGAAAACCAAACAGTGAGATGCCAAGAGGAGAGGAACTTTGGGGCATTTAAAGAATTTGAATCGTGGTTGCAACGTTCTTATGACCGTTGGGCTTGCACTGTTACTAAATTGATTCGAGGAAATCTTCACTAAACTAGCCGTTGTAGTGAAGGGGGCAAATTCGTACTACTTAATGTTCGAGGTTTCGGATATGGTAACGGGAAATAAAAGCAACGTGAATTTGAAACCAAAATGTTGACCATATCTGTAGTTTTGGAATGAGCGGCGTGTTTCTTGATTTGGTGTAGTTGGGTGTTAATATGTTTCCTTCGTTTCGGTGGAATAAGAAACGTTTGATTAGGGAAGTTCCGATCTTTTGGTCACGAAGAAGAGATACTGTATCGATTTATTAACAAAAAAGATAAAAAATTTAGGTGGTATTTTATTTGCTATAAAAATAATGTTACAGACTCAATAAAAATTACCAAAATAATAATATTTTATTTAATTGATGAATCAATTAAAATTTAAATTATAATATATTTTTATTTATAAAGAATTTTTATGAACCCCCCCCCTCAATCCAATGGGGATCCGCCCATGCACGCACATCAGAGTAAATAGAGGAAGTGAAAGTAAAGAGCCAAATTATTAATAGAAGTTCAATTAACCAATGCATTCAAATAATAATAACTCTGATACAAGCCAACATGACTGTAAATATAGCAAAAAAAAAAGAAAAAAAAATTCCAACCCACAGAAAATATAAACATAATAACTACTATAAAACATAAATACCAAAAAAAAGTCTAATGTTGGTAACCCTATCCATGAGGTAGCGGTCCACCAAACTCGTCTGAAGGACCTACTGAAAAAGATAACGGGAAAGTTTGATAAATCAAATTCAACAAATAACTACATCTATATATCAAAGCATAAATGACAAAGGAGTGGGGCATGCAGTTTGAACAACTAAAAGAAGAGAGTACTAACTTAGAATCATTATATAAAAAACTATCATGAGATATGCTATGTTTTTTACATCTTCTAATATGCATGCATATATGTCAAAGAGCTATTGATGTCAAATTATTATAATGTTTACAAATGGATCACACTAGGTATCCATGTACCTCATGTTAAGGATTGTTAATTATAGCAAGCATATTTGTTAACCAACAGTTGCCTTACACGTGTACTCTCTTGTATTAGAATAGGCTATATATATGTCTCAGCTAAATGTATTTCTGATCAAGAAAGATAGAATAAAAGATTTGCTTTCTCTTCCTCTTCTTCCCATCAGTTCTTTACTATTCATGAAGATTTAACTTCTACATGGAATCAGCAAGCGGGCGATTTTGAGGACCTGACGATGACGACTCAGGCATCGGCTTCTTCGTCGATCGGTACCACCACATCCGGAGCAGCCGCATCAAATCCTCTTATTTCTCCGTCCCTGAAATTTGTAATCTCCAATCTCAAGTTTCTTGTTCCTCACGCTCTAACTCCGGACAACTTTCCGATCTGGAGTACTCAGATCGCTAAACTGCTCAAGGCAAATGGTTTTGCGGAATTTCTTGACTCTAAACCGGATCAAGAAAATGTAGATCCGAATCAAGATTTGCGCTCCTGGCATGTCACCGATCAGAATCTTGCGACGGCCATGTGCTCCACCATTTCGCCGGCAGTTCTTCCCTACGTGATTCACCTTGAATCAACTCACGAAATATGGACTACTCTTCACAACCGATTTCAGGCGTCGAATAGATCCAAGGTAATACAGCTCAAAAATGAGCTTCATAATATCTCTATGCAGACAATGACAATGACTCAGTATCTCACTGAAATCAAGAAAATAGTCGATCAAATAGCGTCGGCTGGCTCCACCGTGGATCCGGAAGATGTAATAATATATATCTTGAATGGACTCCCACCGGCCTACCAATCGTTCGCTACAACCATCCGCACTATGCAAGGATCATTGTCTCTGGATTCCCTTTATGCGCTTCTCATCAGCAAAGAAATTCATCTAAAATCGGCGGCCTTGAAATTCCCCAAACCACCGGACAATCAATCCGCTATGTACACGGGCAGAGGTAGGGGTCGGCGCGGCCGTGGAAGACCAGGCTCTACCTCGGCTTCGAACACCATCCCCAACCAGAATCCATCCATCCTATGCCAAATTTGCAAGAAAAAGGGCCATAGTGCGGAAGCTTGCTGGCATCGAATGAACCCCAACTATACACCTCAACAGCCAGCGGCAAAGCACACTAGCGCACTTCTTGCCAACAACGAGAACAACTCAACGTCGGATTGGTATATCGACTCGGGGGCTTCATCTCATATGACTAACTCAACCGAGCACTTGGATTGCTACAATTCCTACAATGGAACCGAAAATGTCATTCTTGGAGATGGCCGAACGGTACCGATAGCTCACACGGGTTCTGGAATACTTCCAACCCCGGCTAGTAAGCTAGTTTTATCCAGACTTTTACATATTCCTTCTTTATCTTACAATTTATTATCTATTTCCAATCTTGTTAAAGATAATCCCATTTCTATTACATTTGACGCAAGTGGCTTTGTGTTTAAGGACCGGATGACAAATCAAGTCATCCTTAAAGGCCCATGCGATCAAGGTGTGTACAAGATAGCCAACTCTTCCCAGAATGCTACCGCTACAGCACTTACTGCCCACAGATTCTCTCCGGCGATTTGGCACATGCGTCTTGGACATCCCAATTCTCAAGTTCTTCGGCACATCTCAAATAATAACCCTTTGTTGCATATCTGCAATACTAGATATACATGTACTCAGTGTTTGTCTTGTAAGGGTCAAAAATTTGCTTTTGAACGCTCTTCTACTAATAGTCGTTTTCCCCTCGAGCTCGTTCATTCCGACGTGTGGGGACCCTCACTGGTGCCCTCACACCAAGGATTTCGATATTACGTTATATTCGTGGATGACTTTTGTCGATTCGTTTGGTTATATCCCTTATTACATAAATCTGATGTTACAAATACTTTCATTACTTTTGTGAATTTCGTTGAACGACAAACCAACAGGAAACTTAAAACTATAAGAACGGACGGTGGAGGTGAGTTCGTTAACAGCCGGTTTCAATCGTTCACCCAAAACGCTGGAATTAAGCATCAAACGTGCTGCCCTTACACTCCAGAACAAAAAGGGATCGCGGAACGTAAACACAGACACATTATAACTATGACCAGAACTCTGCTTTTAACTGCGGGGCTTCCTCTAAGCTACTGGCTTGAAGCCGCCACAACCGATGTTTATTTAATTAACAGGCTACCGTCTGCAACTACTAAGAATGTAGCTCCTCTGTATCGAATGTTTAAGGTTCCACCGTCTTATTCACACCTTCGAGTATTTGGGTGTGAATGTTTTCCGCTGCTTCCTCCTACGCAACGAACAAAGCTTACACCTACCTCAACTTCATGCATTTTCTTGGGCTATTCCGATATATCCAAAGGATATAAGTGTCTTAATCCGGTAACGAATAAATTTTTTGTATCTAGAAATGTTCAATTTAATGAATGATCTATTTTTCCGTTTAGCTCCAAGATTACTCAAGAACCGGCTCATGATAACTTGATGCCACCATCGCTGCTCATTCCGCCATCTACGCTACACTTTCAAAACAAAATCAGTGTGCCACCACCTGTTCAACCGATAACTCAAACATCTACCGAACCAACTACAGCAAGCCACCCTGTCTCGGTTACAGATCAGCACCGGATCAATCTACCGGAGCCACCAAACCGCAATGTCCCACATCCCATGACTACTCGGACCAAAACGGGATCTCTCAAACCCGTCCAAAAACTGAATCTGTTTCATCAAGCTAACGTGCCAAGCGATCCGACTACATATGCTGAAGCAAGTAAAAAGTTTGAATGGCGACAGGCAATGGCACAGGAATTCTACGCATTACAAAAGCAAGGTACATGGATGCTCGTTACACCTCCACTGACTGGGTCTATTCTCGGTTCCAAGTGGACATACCGTACTAAGTTAAACTCAGATGGCACGGTTGCTCGCTACAAATCCCGGCTAGTAGCTCAAGGAAATCAACAGGAATATGGCTTAGATTACCAGGACACATTTAGTCCTTTGGCCAAACTTTCGACCGTTCATATCCTATTCACTATTGCGCTGTTTCATCATTGGAAGGTCCAGCAACTCGATGTTGCGAACGCATTCTTACATGGAGACATTCATGAGACCGTATACATGCGACAGCCTAAAGGCTTTGAGGATGCATCACATCCTCATTATGTTTGCAAACTACAAAAAGCAATCTACGGTCTACGTCAAGCTCCAAGACAATGGTACACAACATTCACTACATATCTACTCCAGCTCGGGTTTCAGCACAGTCAAGCAGATCCGTCGCTCTTAACACTACACCGTGATCACACTCGTCTCTATCTACTGGTATACGTCGACGATATTTTGCTCACCGGAAACGATGAACACGCGATGACTGCTCTAGTAAATCAGTTACAATCCAAATTCACTATGAAAAATCTAGGACCCGCAAATCACTTTCTTGGTCTCAAGATCGAATATACACAAGATAAGTTCTTTCTATCTCAATCTGTATATGCAAAATCAATAATTCAAATGGCCGGGTTACACAAATGTAACTCGGTCGCTAACCCGTCTTTTACAAAACTTCCATCCTCAACTTCGGCTGATGATGCTTCCTTCGACGAACTCGCCTACCGAAGGATTATTGGCTCCTTACAGTATCTAACGCTCACAAGGCCAGATATAGCCTATGCAGTCAACGCACTATCTCAACACATGCACAAGCCGGCTCAAATTCACTCTGCAATGCTCAAGAAACTTCTTCGATACATTCAAGGCTCCACTGATTTCGGTCT